AATAATTAGGGGCTCGGAAAACAAGTAAATATCTGAGAGGTGGTTTAGTGAGTGAGAGCAGGTAGCGGAAGTTATAGGTCTGGATAGGCACCCCATGATTGTAATTGACCAATACCGTTTATGAAGCCACACGCTTGTTAAACTGCAATAAATAAACAGAAGTTTATGTTCCAATTTAACCCTGACTGGACTCAGTATTTGTACCAGGTACGGCCTGGGTGGTGGCAGCAAAAAATAAATTGGTGGCACAGGGATCAATAGATGGTGAAACGTCCGGGGACCCTGTATGATCACCACACCCTCCAAGTGTCCTGACTTTCCAGAGACAGTTCTGGAATTACGAAAGGCATTCTGGCTTCGCAATTGATCATGGAATGTCCCTATTTCCCCTGCCAGGGTTGCTGCCGCCGAGCTCAGGGGGGAGGATGAGGCGGCACTTGTCCTGAGAGACGACTGCTGTGGCTGTGAGGGAGCATCCTGTTGCCTCTCCATGGCCACTGCTGCTGGCTGCCTCCCTTAGGCAGCTCATCACAGTTGCTAGAGATTGGGCGAGGAGGAGGAAAGGCTGCTGCCACTGAGGTCCAGGGCAGGAAGAAAGGGCGCACAGAGTGCAATTAAAAATAATAATTGTGCATTTGCGTCTAATCTTCCCCCTTTCTAAAATTTGTGTGCGCTTCTCTTTTTGTAATTTTACCAAAGAATAAAATAAAATTGGGATTAAGGGGTTTTCTCTGGACAGTGGAGGGTGTGTGCGCTCTGTCCTGTTGGTGTGGTGGTGCCACTCACCCTTTTTCTGATAGGAAATGCTCTTGGGGGGGGATGTGGTCAGAAAGCTGAGAGTCCAAGGTCACGAGAAGCAAAAAGCAGCAAGGTCTGGCCAGGAACGACAAATGTTGTATCCAGCAACTGACTGAGGCTGGAAACCCTGCTTAAGAAAGCTGGATGCAGCTGCTTCAGATCAGGAGCAAAAAGGCTGATCAGTAGCAGGGGGAGTCACCCTGCCTCTGATTCCTTCAGGCTGCTGCTCAGCAAGTGAAGCTGATTCGTGGCCCATGACACTATCCCCCACCCCAAGGCACCCCCAACCCACTGGCTGGGTGCCAGCTTATGGGGTTACCAATGGTGGAACTGCTGGACCAACTGGGGACATGCAAGGCATCTTCCCATGAGTGTTCCTCAGGGCCATAGCCCTTTGAGTCTTCCAAATACTGGAAGCGCTGTCGCCATCGACGGGAGTCCAAAATTTGTGCCACTTCAAACTCTGGTTCCCCTTCCACCAGGATGGGCAACGGAGGGTGAGCATCCGGTTGGTGCACACTGGCAGGGGCCATAGGGATGAGCAAGGCGTGGTGGAAAACCAAATGTACATTGTAGGAAGCTGGGAGCTTGACCTGGTAGGCCATCTGGTTGATCACAACCTTCACAGGAAAGGGACCGAGGAACCGGGGCCTCAGTTTCCATGAAGGGTTCTGGATGGGCATATGCCGGGTGGAGAGCCAGACCAAGCCAGGGTCCCCCCACCAGCCTGCTGATGTTGGTCAGTGAAATGCTTGTAATCATCCATTGCCCGTTGGAGCTGCTCGCAAAGAACCTGGTGGATGGCCCGCAGCTCCTGCAAAATCTGATCTGCCACCGAAGTGTGGAAGGAGATGATGGCAGGGAGAAGAAGCAGGGGTGGAACCCATAGTTGGCAAAGAACGGGGACAGGAATGTCAAAGTGTGGAGAGCATTGTTAGAAGAGAATTCAGCTGCCAGGAGCGAGATCCAGTTGTCCTGATGGAAGTTAACAAAGCACTGCAGATACTGTTCCAGGATCTCATTTATGTGCTCTGTTTGCCCATCCGATTGAGGGTGGTAGGCAGAGAGATGGAGCTGCACCCCCAAACCCTTCAGAAGGACCCACCAAAAGTGCAGTGTTAATTGTGGTCCTCTATCGGACACGCGACGCTGTGGCAGGCCGTGCAAGTGGAACAGTTCCCTCAAGACGAGGTCGGCAGTTTCTTGGGCCAAGGGGAGGCCAGCGCTAGGGACAGAATGCACCATCTTGGTCAAGGGATCCACCACTACCAAAATGGTAGTCGCACCTTGGGATTGAGGCAGGTCCATGATAAAGTCCAGGGAAATGGTCTACCAGGGCCGTTTAGGTATTGGTAAAGGTAGAAGGTGTCCTGCCGGTTTGCCAGGGATGTCTTTAGCCCGACAGACAGGGCAGAAGGCCACATATTGCTCCACCTCAACCCAAAGATGAGGCCACCAAAAGAAGAGTTTTGAAGCATCTGAAGTACCCTGCCGGAAGACTGTCATGGCATAACCGCAAAGCAGTTCCCCACAGTGGACCAGGAGGCACATAATAACGGTTCCAAAACTGCAGCAGGTCCTCGTGCACCATCTAATAGCGAGGAGTGTGTCCAGTCCGGTCAGACAATTCTTGAGGCTGGTGCTGCACATAGGCGTCCTGCTGTTGCTCCTCCCGCAGAAAGTTTCCATGAACCTGGCCCATAGCAAAGATGGCAGGAGGCAAGATTGTGGCCGTATGTAATGCATCATCAGACCGCTCATACTCCAGCTTCGCTGTTTCTAGCTTCTGGAAATATAGGTGACATTAAAATCGAAGAGGAACAACTGGGACTAGTGGATCTGGTGGTGACTCAGGTACTTGACTGACTGGAGATGTTCTAGGTTCCCGTGGTCCGTCTGAACTTCAGCTGGATAATAGGTCCCTTGCAACAAATGACGCCATGTCTCAAAGGCCACGTTAATAGCCAATTGTTTTTTGTCCCAAATGCCATAATTCTGCTCTGCTGGTTGAAGTTTTCAGGAGTAGTACCCACAGGAGAAGAGCACCGAAGACTGTGGGTCAGCCTGTGGGCGCATTGGTCAAGCCGAAGGGCATTCCAGTGTACTCAAAGTGCCCATATTGTGTCCGAAACACTGTCTTCAATTCATCACCCTCACGGGTGCGCAACCAGCCAAGGTGGGTTTTTTTTTGGGAGGGGGGGGGTTTACTTGCCTGGAGGCAGAGTCTGTATGTAAGGTTCAGTCCAGTCCTAAGGTGAGGAATATCTCGGTTCACATAGACAGTCCAGGGGTCAAGAAAGCCGAGAGTCCAAGGTCACGAGCAGCACGGTCTGGCCAGGAACGACAAATGTTGTTTCCAGCAACTGACTGAGGCTTAAGAAAACTGGAACCAGCTGCTTCACATCAGGAGCAAGAAGGCTGATCAGTAGCAGGGGGAGTCTCTCTGCAGGCTGCTGCTCAACAGGTGAAGCTGATTCCTCGCTCATGACACCTGTTTTCAGCTGAGGAATGTTGAAGGGTACAGTGATACCTCAGGTTACATACGCTTCAGGTTGCAGACTCCGCTAACCCAGAAATAGTGCTTCAGGTTAAGAATTTTGCTTCAGGATGAGAACAGAAATTGGGCTCCGGTGGCACGGCAGCAGCAGGAGGCCCCATTAGCTAAAGTGGTGCTTCAGGTTAAGAACAGTTTCAGGTTAAGAACAGACCTCCAGAACAAATTAAGTTCTTAACCCAAAGTACGACTGTATGTTGTTGTTCTTGGCATTCATCTATCTCGGGAGGTAATGCAGGAGTGTGCCTATGGAGGATGAAGTCAAACTGTTGCAAAGTTTGGTAGCAGTGGCTATAGAGACCAATATGGGAGAGACGTGTTTGTTGCTGCTGGGGCAGATGCACCTGAGATTTTATGAGGTGCCAAACTAGCCAGCTTTATTTGGGGTGGAAAGTGCCTTTTGTACTTCTGTCTCAAGCAGGAGAAGGTATTGGGCTGGCCCTGTATACCCCCTGGGTATACCTGGGAATAACCTACAATAAATGGGGCCGACTTCAGAGTAAGCATATATACATTCTCACCTTCATGGAAACCCTACGCCAAAGGCCAAGCCGCAGAGTTTCATGACTGAGCAGGGAACTAATCGGACTTGCCCCTATCCAAACCCCAAGCTTCTTACTTTAGCTTTAATGAATCCCTCCCCAATCACATATCCTTTTTAAAAATGGTGTGTTTGTGAAATAACCTCAATAGCTCTTTTGCTTTCAAAGTATTGTACCTCTTCGCTTGAGAGTTGAGGCAAACAATGTGACTTTGCAGAAGGAATATGTGTACTTGCAACCACATTCTCTCTTCCCACCCCTTGTGGTGCTGTTTACTTTGGCAGGAGTACAGTCCTTGCTCTGCATTACATTTGGCACTTGAATTGTCATGGTGACATAGCAAGTGTCCCTCTCCCCACACCCCCATCGATAGAAACAAGCATCACTCACAGTAGGATTAGGTTTTCTATCAGACAGCACAGTGGTTTGTAGACTTTCTACTTCCAGAGGACCCTGAATGTACAGTTTGCCGAGGAATCCATGTATGTTGAAGAAGATCATGGAGCAGGTTCTGGGTATTTGGCCTGTTCATGTGAAATGTCAGGCAGGGATACTGGACCTCATACTTGCTCTTCGTGAATGGAGAACCCCCAATTCTCAACTGTGATTTCAGGGTATCATTATAACCTTGCCTTCTCTCACCCACCCACTTTTTAAATAGAGGAAATTCATTCACTTGAACCCCTCCTGCCTGCAGCATAAAACTGAGGCACAGCTTTTACCGCCTAATCTGATTTGTGTGACAATGAGGTTTCTAGCATATTGATATATCTCAGAACTGTTAGACATGACTGGAAGGGAAGTAGAAGCAGAATACTGAGCAACTTTTCTCCTGTGCATGAGATTTCATCAGTTCTTCAGGTAAAGGCATCTCTCCCCAAAATCCCCAAAGAGTGTCTCTCTCAAAATCAACATGAGAAGCAGTACTGGCAAGATCTGTGCATTTGTTTCAAAATACAAAGGAATTTGTATTTGCCTTTGAATCTCATATCAATGTAGTTTTATCAGCAAAAGAATAGCAAGGTGTTTTACTGATAGCTATATTTCATATTTCTAGTTAGTCAAGAAGCCTGAGTGAAAAGGTGTGAAATAAATAGTCATGCAGATAGTAGAAAGCTGACCTTTCTTCATGAGGTCAAGTAGCTTTATTGTGATTTAACACTACAATACAGTAGATATCCATAAAAAACTCTATAGTGTATATAAATTATTCCTTCCATTCAGCTTTTTTTTTAAATGTCCATTACAACTTTGGTACAATGTGGTTTTATTATATTTTTTTAAATACTTTTTGCTTCACAAACTCAACACAAAGTACAAAACTAATCTGAATTAGGGATATTATAATCTACACAGTGGTGTTCAGTGGTAGGAAAAAATCTTACCTCAATGATTTCATGTCACTAGCTAAGCTATAAAGGCAGACCTAGCAGACATGACAAAAATATGCACCATTAACCAGCGAGAACAACTTATTACATTTTGTTGTTGTTTTTACATATTTCCAGCAGCACTGACTCTATGCCCTCAACTGATAACTCTTGTTGTGTTCCTCATTTCATTTGAAGGCCATGAGATAGTCGTCATTAAAAAAACAAAACAAAAAAACCAGCTACCTTTTATATATTGGTACTAAGGATTCACAGTTTCAGTACTTGACCTGCCATCCAGCATTGCTAATATTCGCACAGTTTGTCCTGCAGTTGGCAGAGATAACTGGTGGGACATTATTAGAAGGACAGTGTTGTGCAATCAATCGGAGATTATTCTGTGGGGAAGGAGGTATGACATTACAGTAAACAGGCATTCCAGTGGCTGTAAGTGTTCCTTGACCTGATTGATTAGGTAGCATGAGTGGCTGTTGATACGACTGTTGTGGCAGTCCTTGAGAACCCTGGGTCATTGGCACCTAAAAGACAAGAAGCAAATTTAGGGTCTTCATACTCGTCTCTAAAATTCCTAACAAGCTTTCTTTCCTTCTGTCTTGTTTTCTTTCATAATTGGTCTCCACCTTTAACTCATGTCTGTTCCAGTTCTATGAAATGCCCGCTCTTTAGACTGGGGTGCACACTAGTTCACCAGTAGCTGAAGAATTTAAGAAGTGAACATATTGTTTCCTGTATGTTTGGGCTGACAGGTAGGGAGAAGGAAGCAGCAAAGATGGGAAACTGAATGTGTAATGATATATGGTGCTGAGCTGAGCTGATTAAAATGTAGTCCAGTATGTATAGTTGTAATAACTCAGTTCTCTTTGCATAAGAGTTCATTCCAGAACTAATTAGTTCTGGAATAGCCTCACTGAAGTGGAAAAGACTTTCATTCTTTTAGAATATGGCTTTAAAATCAGAATACTGGACTAGGCATCATTTAGTGAACTAGTAAACTGGACCATTAGGTCCAGTCGTGGCCGACTCTGGGGTTGCGGCACTCATCTCGCTTTATTGGCCAAGGGAGCCGACGTACAGCTTCTGGGTCACGTGGCCAGCATGACTAAGCTGCTTCTGGCGAACCAGAGCAGCGCACGGAAACGCCTTTTACCTTCCCACTGGAGCGATACCTATTTATCTACTTGCACTTTGAGGTGCTTTCGAACTGCTAGGTTGGCAGGAGCAGGGACCGAGCAACGGGAGCTCACCCCGTCGCAGGGGTTTGAATTGCCAACCTTCTGATCAGCAAGTCCTAGGCTCTAGTGAACTGGTAGAGTGTTCTAAATGGAATTGGTGCAGTTCTCTCACTGGATGAGAAAGAGTCACACAGGTGATGGTTCTAGACTTATGGATTTGTCTTGAATTTTATTGTTTAGGAGATCAGGAAACAAAATCCTCCCCCTACTGAGTGTTTAGCATAGACACAAATGAACCATTTAGGTTTGACTTTTCAGACTGTGCAATATTTTCCGCCTCTGACTTCCGAAACAAGTGTCTGGGGAGGTGGGATGTTGCTTGACCAGGAGATGCTGTTTTGTTGGCAGTGTGACACAAAAGCAAAAGTGTAAAAGCAGAATATCACACCGCTATGTTTTAGTGCAGTTCTCAAATGCAGAATCAACAAATTACTTTTCAATATCTCAGTCTCCGTTATTTTGAACTTGAGAGGGGTCCAGGAAACATGCAGAGCCCAGAGAATTAAGTCATGTTCTGACTTCTTCTGACATTTAAATGATAAAAAATATCAGATCCTAAATGGAGGATGCCTAACCTCCATTACCCGACGCCCTTGTCTTTTTACTGCTTGTGTAGATTGACATTATTAACAGCAGGGCTCTTTTTCCCCACCATACAATGAAAAATGAAAGGAGGAGGCGCTGGTGGTTCTGTATCTCAAATGTGGCACAAGGGCAAGAAAGGTGTTTTATCTGATGGAATGAACTTTTGTAGCTCCCAGTCAAAATGCAGAATGGAAATGTGGCGTTGACAGAATGGCTTGAAATAGGGCTGATAAGATAAATGGCCCTCAAATGTTGGTATTAAAGCCGCCAGTCAAATAACAAATACTTTTTACACATCATTTGAAAATTGCAATTAGATTCATTGGGCTCTAAACCAGAGTTTTAAACAAGGGGGAAAGGGCAGGTATTTTGCTGCTTTCCCACTTTCAGAAAAGATAATATTTGGTTAAGTTAAAGTTAAATGAACTAAGTTGAGTGGCAAATGTGAAACTATTTAGAAACACAGTTCTTGTTCTGTACTACAATAATTTTATTAAGCATATTTCAATATTTGTAATAGCATGTTTTTATGTGTATGTTTTGTGTCAATTTTGCTGTTATTTCCTCTTGTAACAACAGGAAAAAATTATACAGATCAATTGGATTTCCAATTTATTACTTGAAGGAATTGTACAGTGGTGGTGATTTTTACTCCCAAATTTTCAGCTTCAAATAATTTGATGTAGGGACACATATGGGCTTCTTATGGAATGGTAGTAGCCCTTATTTTAGCAATCCACATGCACAAAATGAAGACATTCGATATAGATGCTTTGTACCTGATAGGACGACATGGTGGGGTATTGGACCATCATGCCTTGCACCTGATTTCCCTGTTGATTATTCATTAGGTTCTGACTTTGGGGAGGCTGTTGCATTCCCATGAGTCCCTGGAACCCTTGTTGTTGATTAGGTAAGACAGACTGGTAACCTGAAAGACAGAAACGACAATACATAGCTTCAGATGAGAGTTGCACTTCGGGAAAGGCGAACCTAGTTTGCAAAATAGGCTCTCATACTTCTTTCCCGGGCCCTGCAATGTCAGGGGAAAAGAAAGCTATTAAAGGGGGAGAAAATAGCCCTCAGCCAAAGATAACTCAACAGCAAGCGTACAGTTTTTGCTGTATTGCAGGCATGGCCAAACTTGGCCCTCCAGATGTTTCGGGAACACAACTCCCATCATCCCTAGCTGACAGGATCAGTGGCCAGGAATGATGGGAGCTGTAGTCCCAAAACATCTGGAGGGCCAAGTTTGGCCAAGCCTGCTCTATTGGATTCCTTCCTTTCTTGTGGAAAACTGATAAAATGCAAGTTTCTCCTAGGCATATTACTGTATTTTTTGCTCTATTGGACGTACCGGACCATAGGAGGGGGAGAACAGGGGGAAAATTTTCTTTTTCTTGTTCTCCCCCTCTAAAACAAGGTGCGTTCTGTGCATTCAAGGTGCGTTCACCCGAAGCCTCTGGAGGCTTTGGGTTCCTTTCGACCTGCTCTTTGGGGCTGGCGGGGGGGGGAGCACTGCTTTCCCCCACTGCCAGCCCCAAAGACCAGGTCGGGGAACAGCGGGAAGGGGGTGCTCCGCCTCCCCGCTGTCCCCCGAGCTTGTGGGCTGGCGGTAGGGAAAGCAGCACTTCTCCCCACCACCAGCCTCCAAACCAGGTCGGGTTTGGAAGCTGCTATCTGCAAGCCTTGGGAGCCCGGCGGCAACTCCTGTCGGGCTCCCAAGGCTTGCTGATAGCAGCCTGCATCCCGAAGCCCGGGGAGCGCTGCACAGCACGCCCCGAGCTTCGGGCAGATATCTGCAAGCCTTGGGAGCCAGGCAGGAGTTCCCGCCCAGATCCCAAGGCTTGTGGATAGCTTCCTGAAGCCTGCATTTGCTCCATTGGACGCATACACATTTCCCCTTCATTTTTGGAGGGGGAAAAGTGCGTCCTATAGAGCGAAAAATACGGTAATTGGAAGCAGGGATTCCTTCAGGACAGGAGATGTAGTTGTTGGTGTAAAGCAGAGTCCCGTGCCCAGCGGAAGGATGAGGAGTACGTACTACATACTCTATATTGCTTTATTTACAGTTCAAAGCTGGTATATTACAGAAAGACATCTTGCCTCTGCCGGAGCAGGAAAAGCATCCTCTCTCCTCGACAGCTTGGAGAGAATCACCCAGTGAAAAACAGGAAACCAGTGTACGTCACATCCAGCCTCCCTTTCCCGTGAGAAACTCCAACAGTACAGACTGTGGAATGTAAACACCTGTCTCGTGACAAGCCCTTTCGCTGCACAGTGAAGGAAAGCAGAAACTAACATCCTCCCCCTTTCTGTGAACATCACTGGGCAGCGTGTTCATACAATATCAGTACAAACCCAACTTCTGCACATAGGTACAGTGTTGATCCCTTGATACAATCTTGGACAATACATCAGCAGGAATTTCATTACCTGGCATATAGGACACCGTCACGAGTCCCTTCTGAATACATTCCTTAGCATGTTGCAACTTTAATTGCAAGTGCTTTGTGCTTTGCTTACAACCTTCAGACTTCAGCAAAGCCAAACATGCTTTGTTGTCCTGGTAAACCTGGATTGGACATTTGACAGGAATTTTCATATCTTTGCACAATTGTACTAACCATTCACAATCTTTAAGTGAATAAGACAGTGCATTCAGTTCAGCTTCACAAGTACTTAAGCTAACTGTTGTTTGCTTCTTGCATGACCAATCAAACAGACTCTGATTGTACATGTAGCAAACTCCAGACGTACTTTTCCTGTCTGCAGTGTCACTTCCAAAACTTGCATCTGCAAATATCTCAAGACCACCAGACTTCTGATTGTTAAATCTCAGTCTGTAATGCATAGTGCCTTTCAAATACCGTGCTATGCGTTTCAGAGCTTTCCAATCCTTGACACTAGGATTGTTGACTTGTCTGCTTAGCAAATTACAGCTAACAGCAATGTCAGGTCTTGAACATCTGGCAATGAAGTTTAGCTTGCCTAGCACACTTCTGTACAGTGTAGTGTCAGTAAATGCTTCTTCAGTGTCATCTACCTGATAACCTGTTGTCATCGGTGTGTCTACAGGGTTAGCATCCATCAGGTTTAGTTTGCTTAACACATCAGCAATTTTCCGTGACTGGTGTACTAGAATGTTACCATCTTGATTTCTCTCTATTTCCAGAGATAGGTAGTTGTTTACCTCACCAAGATCTTTCATGTCAAAGTGCTCTTTCAGTTGAGCTAGGGCGTTACTGTACATTGCGACATCTTTCCAAAAGAATAATAAATCATCAACATAAAACAAACAGTACAGTTTCTTTTGCCCCTCCTCTTTGACAAATACACATGGATCAGCTTTCCCTTGCTGAAAACCTAGAGAAAACAATACTTCAGTGAGTTTTGTGTGCCAACACCGTGCACTTTGTTTGAGACCATAAAGGGATTTCTTCAAAGCACAAACAAATCCCTGTTTTACCTGTACGCCATCAGGTGGAAGCATATAAAGTGATTCATTTAGAGATCCGTACAGAAAAGCTGTATTAATATCATGGTGACTAATGTGTAGATTTTCCTCTGCAGCTAGCTTGAGCATAAGCCTAATGCTTTCATACCTCACTGTGGGTGAGTAGGTCTCGTGATAGTCTTCTCCTGGTACCTGTGCAAAACCTCTGGCTACCAATCTGGCTTTGTGTCTGACTATCTTGCCATTTTGATCTGTCTTCGCTTTGAAGACCCATTTGCTTCCAAGCAGTTTCATTCCTGGAACTACTGGAACTAGTTCCCATGTTTTGTTCCTTTCTAAGGAATCAAGCTCAGCCTTCATGGCGTTTAACCATGGCTCAGCTTCCTTTGAATCCAAACCCTGGATTTCTTGGAAACTTGAAGGTTCAAATACCTTCTTGGAGCTTTTAACAGCTGTTACTGCTATTGTAGCAAACTCATCAGCAAATCTCTTTGGAGGTTTGCCTTTTGTGGCTCTCTGTGACCTACGAATTAGCCTTAAGTCTTCAACACTCTCCTCTTCCTTCTTAGGAGAAAAACGACCTATTGTGAACAATGGTTCCTCCAATTCTTCTCGATCAGAGCTTTCAGAGGGTCGCATAGAGGCTTTCGCACTCTTGAAATCCTCTGAATCACCCGATTCAGTTTCAGATTCAGACTCAGAACCTTCATCAGTGGGTGTGGGTTGTTGTGGTTGCTTTTGACTATCCTCAGTCTCATCACCGTCATCAGGATAACATTGGAAAATTCCCACATTCTCCCCCCACTTTGCATTGTACTCAACACTTCTCGTGAGCTTAATTGTCTTAGAGTCAGTCATCATTATTCTGTAAGAACCTTTCTGATAACCTAGAAAGATACCATGCAAACCACGCTTGTCTAACTTGGAGTTTTGTGGAGTGTGAATCCACATGTCAGAACCAAAAATTCTCATGTGTTTGATGTAAGGCTTCTTGCCAAACATCTTCTCATAGGGGGTACAACCAATCGCTGAAGATAACCTGCGATTATAACTGTAAACAAAACATGAGAGAGCTTCAGCCCAATAACTCTCTGGAAGATTGGCATCATGCAGCAAGGTTTTTAACCCTTGAAGCAATGTCTGATTTGCCCGTTCCGCAAGTCCATTCTGCCATGGCGAGCGAGGACTAGACAAATCGTGTTGAATTCCTTTCTCAGTCAGAAAAGCTTCAAACTGCTGAGAAGTGAATTCTCCCCCGCGATCAGTGAAAAGAGTCTTTATCTTCTTACCATGCACATTTTCCAACCAAGCACAGAATTCCTTGAACCTAGGAAAAGCCTCTGATTTCTGCTTGAGACTGTACACAAAAATATATCTAGAAAATGCGTCAATGAGAACCATGAAGTACCTATTTCCACCCAAAGAGGGCGATAGTGGACCAACCAAATCAGCATGAACAACCTGGTATGGTTCCGTAGCTTGCCTACTAGACACCTTACCTTTCGCAGCCATTTTCACCTTGTTTGCTGCGCATGCTTTGCACTTCATGTGGTACCTGCAGGGTTTAATAGTCATACCTTCAACCAAGGCAGGCATTTTAGATACTGCCTCAAAATGCAAATGACCAAATTTTCGATGAAAATCATGAATACATCCTGCATGCAAACTTTTGTTAGAACCTGCAATGCAACAAGTGTCATCCTGCACAACATCATCATAATACAAAACAAACAAGCGATCAACATATTCAGCATGCAATACATAATCATTTTTCTTTGTGATGATGCACTTCTTGTTCTTAAAGGAGACGTCAATGTTCCGCTCATTCAGCTGTCCTACGCTGAGCAAATTATGTTTGGCGTCTGGTACGTAAAGGACATTCTGTATCGATAAGTCCAAACTGTGAAGAACAACAGTTCCGTAGCCTTTACTGGGAATCGTGTGGTCATCCGCCTGGTGAATCGCACCTTCCTGCGGTGTAAAAGACACAAACAGTCTCTTATCGTTGCACATGTGGTGAGTTGCCGCTGAATCAACAACGAAGAAAGATCTAGACGCCTTCTGGACCTCTGCAACCTTTGGAGTGAAGCGTGAAACCATAGCCTTGTGCTGCGTTGTCCTAGACACCGGACCTTTGCCTTTGCCTCGGCCTTTTCCACGCGATGAGCTTTCGCTGCGCTGCTCTGTCTTGGCCTTGGGATATCTGCATTCCCTCTTCATATGGCCTAGACGTCCACATGAGTAGCATTTCACTGCCTTCAAAGCTTTGGCGCCATCTGGTGGTTCCACTGCACTATGGGTTGACGTCTGTGAAGACTCCCCTTGCCCATGCAGCTAGCACCCCGGCGATCCGCTTCATTTAAAACCACGGCAGTAACAAAGTCCACTGTCAGCTGAGCTGTTGGCTGCACAGCAATCTGGGTTGCAACAGACTCCCAACCTGAACCCAAAGATTGTAGTATCATGAAAGAATA